AATGTTTCTTGTTGGATTTTCAAGGTGCATAAGTTATCAGGATATGTCTTTCATTTTTTGCGTGCAACATACAGTGATTTCAGGGAGTACCTTTCGCGCAACCACCAGTTGGCATTCGTAGATTCAAACTGCCTGAACCACCAAGATCGTGGAGAGGAGTGAAATCAGCAAAGCAATATAGGTAGGTGAAAAAACTACCAAAGTGTAAGACTGTGTCTGGACACATTCCCTCAGTCACATTCTATCGAGATGGATTTAGCTGATTTAAAAATCAAAAAGGAACCAGATCATGCTTAGAATAAGGAGATTTTCCTTTATTTTTTTACCTTATCGGTTTCTTTTCCTATCTGTGTGAGCGATTGGAGTCGCGAGTTATTTGTTTGTCAGCAGCAATGATTAAAGTAATACTCATTTATGCACAATCACTCGTCACCCCTTTTCCAAATATTTGGTGCGATTTCCTAATTCAGTGGTTTCTCTGAAAAATTCTACATACCAGGCAAATCATTTTGGCACTTTGTGATTGCAAACAGAAAACCTTTTTCACAGTAATCAAATAGCACAACCTATCCGAGTATGAGATTCTTCATTTATTTATATCCCACACTGCTCCACATTATTGAGGCAAGTATAAAATAATATTGATGTATGGTAGATAATCTTGTTTGTTACTGTAGCGCATCTACAGGTTTGCAACGTTGAAAACTCCTCTTGTAAGAAAGTGTATATTAGCTGATGACGAAGGAAGAAGATAAAGAATGCAAGTAAATAATTGTAACTTTTTCTTTTCAGTGCAGCTTGCATGAGCAATTCTACTATGAGTAGTTCACAACAAAAAAATATCAGTGAAGACTGCCTATACATGAACATTTTTGTAAGTGAAAAATGTCTGTTAAAGGTAAGCGAAGGATTTAAATTTTTTTCGTTGAGCATAAAAAAGCAAAATTCTTTGTTTTGAAACTTCTAGAAAGGTTCGTGCCCTGTAATCTTTTATATACACGGTGGAAGCTTGAGCTATGATTCTGCTGTAATGTTCGACGATCAATACATAATTAATCGATACTCATCAAAAGGTATAAAATCTGCTATTTAAACGTCGCCAGTGTCTTTCAGTATCATACCGTTTTAGATATCGTCTTTGTCATATCTGCTTTTCGACTAGGCTTCTTTGGAGTTCTTGCCTTTGAAAATGATGAGGTTGTTCCACGTAACCTCGCATTTTATGGTAAAATTACATCGCTCTTATAATATTTGTCGATGTTTCCAAAATATTTACAGATATCATTGCTGGACTAGAGTTTATGCAACAGGAGATTGCAGCTTTTGGTGGTAATCCCCAACAAGTAACGCTTATGGGTCATTCTCAGGGTGGTAGCATTGCGATG